CCGTTCCCCCCTTTTCTTACTTTAGTTTTTAAAAGTTGCAATGGTTTTTGCGTGCTCCCATTCCTTTTTTTTTTTTCCCTCTCGGAAACTGGTCCGAGTGGCTCTTTATGTCTTAAATGTTGCAGACCCCTGGTATAGCCACAAAGGGGGCAACTCCATATTAATGGCCATGGTTATGGAATGGAATGTCCAACAACTCATAAAGCTGTGATGGTCAAGAGTTCACAAGTTTCGGCCATATAAATGTATGCTATATCCACTGTTACATCTATATACATCACACACCTGCAGTATCTAAGATGTTTTAGCCACAAAGAGAGGCCAACTCCATATTAATGGTCATAGTGGGAGACCAACTCCATAATAATGGCCATGGCTGTTGAATGGAATGCCCAACAAAGTGTATTGGTCATGTGTCCACAACCTTTCGTGAAATAGTGTATATAGCAGCCTTTTTCAACCAGGGTGCCCAGGCACCGTTGGGTGCCTTCAGGTTTCTTTAAGGGCTCCTTGGGAAAATGGCTAAAAATTGCCCAAAATTTTGGATAAGTCAGTAAGGGGATCAAGCCTACCTTTTAGTTACACAAAGCTGTGTGTGCACCATTATGACTTCTAGCTACCAGCGTCCTAACAACCAATGACCTCATCATTTGATAAGGAGGATGTTGGGCTCCTCCAAAGCATTGTTGTTTGTCCCTCCTGAAGCTGACCTTCAGGCACAGGAACTGTGTCAGCTCACACTATATCTCGCCATCTGAATGAAAAGGGACGTTATGGTAGGAGACCCAGGAGGACCCCACTGCTTACACAGAAACATAAAAGAGCCAGATTGGCATTTGCCAAAACATACCTGAGGAAAATCCTTTTGGGAGAATGTGCTGTGGACAGACAAAACCAAATGACAGCTTTTTGGTAAAGCCCATTATTCTACTGTTTTCAAAAAAAAGCAATGAGACTTTGAAAGAAAAGAATGCAGTCCATAAAGTCACACATGGTGGGGGGGTCACTGATGGTTTGGGGTGGCTTTGCTGCTTCAGGCACTGGATGTCTTGACCGTGTGCATGGCATTATGAAATCTGAAGACTACCAAAGAATTCTGGGGTGCAATGCAGAGCCCAGTGTCAGAAAGTTGGGTCTCAATCAGAGGTCATGGGTCTTCCAGCAGGACAATGACCCAAAGCACACGTCAAAAAGCACCCTAAATGGTTTCAAAGAGCTGGAGAGGACTGAACTGACCAGAAATGAGTCCAGACCTCAATCCCATAGAGCTCCTGTGGAAAGACCTCAAAACAACAGTTGGGAAAAGGAACCCTTCCAATCTGAAAGACCTGGAGCAGTTGGCAAAAGAAGAGTTATAAAAATTCCAGAAGAGGTGGAAGAAACTCATTGATGGTTACAGGAAGCCATTGATTTCAGATATTTCAGGTCCACTCTTCTTTACAGATGTTTTCTAAATTGCTAAGGTTTCTTGGCAATCACTTGGCAACTTGAACGTTTCAGCTCCCTCCATACATTTTCTATAGGATTAAGGTATGGAGACTGGCTAGGCCACTGCATGACCTTAATGTGCTTCTTGAGACCTTCTTTTGTTGCCATGGTGGTATGTTGTGGGTCATTGTCATTGTCATTCTATCCACGCCCCATCTTCAGTGTTCTGGCTTAGGGAAGAAGGCTCTCATCCAAGATTTTACAATACATGGCCCCGTCCATTGGCCCCTCAATGCAGCAAAGTCGACCTGTACCTTTGGCAGAGAAACAGCCCCAAAGCATAAGGTTTCCACCTCAATGGTGGTATGTTGTGGGTGATTGTCATGCTGTCCCACGACCCATCTTCAGTGTTCTGGCTGAGGAAAAAATTTCTCATCCTAGATTTTGCAATACATGGCCCTGTCCATTGGCCCCACAATGCGGCAAAGTCGGCCTCTACCTTTGGCAGAGAAACAGCCTCAAAGCATAAGGTTTCCACCTCCACGCTTGACCGTAGGGATGGTGTTCTTAGGGTCATAGTCAGCATTTTTCTTCCTTTAAACATGGCAAGTCGAGTTAATGCCAAAGAGCTCAATTTTGGACTCATCTGACCACAGCACTTTCTCCCAATCATTTAAATGTTCATTGGCAAACTTCAGACGGGTCTTCTTGGGGAGGGGGACCTTTGCTGGAGCTGCAGGATTTCAATCCATGGTGGCGTATTGTGTTACCAATGGTTTGGTGACCAGGGGCGGACTAACCGTTTAGAAACTCGGGCACTGCCCAAGGGCCCAAGGTCAGTAGGGGGCCCCATGAGATGCCCCTGGTACCTTTTTCATAGGCTTTTTTGAGTTTGGGCAAGGACACAGGGGCCCCATGATCCCCTTTTCCCCAGGGGCCCCGTGAGTTGTCAGTCCGCCCCTGTTGGTGACTGTGGTCCCAACTGCCTTAAGATCATTCACAAACTTTTCATGTGTAGTTCTGGGCTGATCCTTCACTTTTCCCATGATCATCCATACCCCATGAGGCCAAATCCTGCATGGAGCTCCAGGCCAAGGGAGATTGATGGTATTTAGAATTTCTTCCATTTGCAAATAATCACTCCAACAGTTGCCTCCTTCTCACCAAGCTTCTTGCTGATATTCTTGAAGCCCATTCCAGCCTTGTGCAGGTCTACAATCCTGCCCCTGACGTCCTTTGGCAGCTCTTTGGTCTTGCCCATGGTGGTGCCCAAGAAAGAGAAAGTCTTGTCGGTAGGAGCACCTTCTTACATTGACAGGACTGATCTGTGTACCACATGAGCCCATAGCCGGTGTGTGGGAGCCAGAATCATTGCTGATTGATAGGGGATCAAATACTCCATTTATAACATTTGTATCGATTTTTGTTCGATATTCTGTCTCTATCATTTACAATACACTTAGGATAAAAATGATGGACCCTTTATTCTTTTGTAAGTGGGCAAACCTACACAATCTCCAGTTGGGGTCACCATGACAAAATATCATCTAAAAATAACCGGAAAAAAAAAAAAAGCTTTTGAAGCCGGCCATAAATGACCACAATCTCTGGTTTCAGAAAACTCCGGGAACGTGCTGTAGATTGGGGAGATAACGAACGTAGCTGTTCGATGTTCCTCCAGGAAGGAATGTATGGCGGCGCGCGGCGTTCCGAAATGTTTGGACTGTGTATGTTTGCATATTTTATCTATTTTAGAACACAGCTGTGGGATTCCTTTCGGCTCCAGACAGCTGGGGCAATATAGCCCCCCCCATATGTACAGGACACCTGGATACACCGGGGAGCATCTGTCCGTCTGCATTGAGCCTTAATATCGCAATTTACCTTTTTTTTTATAGCTTCGCAACACCTTCGCATCGCATCCCATCTGCTGCTTTTATTCATTTCAGGCGCCATATTTCTGCACATTTACGCCAATCTTTGGCAATCGTTCCTAAGCAGATGTAACCCCTAAATGGATGCGCCGCGAATCGGAAACGGGGGCAAAACAACCAAAAAAATACTCATTCCTTGGCTGATCTCCTGACCTCCGGACTGACAACTCATGGGGCCCCCGGGCAATAGGGGATCATGGGGCCCCTGTGTCCTTACCCAAACTAAAAAAAGCCTATGAAAAAAGGTACCAGGGGCATCTTCATGGGGCCCCCTACTGACCCGGGGCTGATGGGCACTGATCAAGGGCAGACTGACAAACTCATGGGGCCCCCGGGCAATAGGGGATCATGGGGCCCTGTGTCCTTGCCCAAACTCAAAAAAGCCTATGAAAAAGGTACCAGGGGCATCTCATGGGGCCCCCTACTGACCCCGGGCCCTCGGGCAGTGCCCGAGTTTCCAAATGGTCAGTCCGCCCCTGCTTGCTATAGTTCAATTGAAACATCAGAATAGGGAAGAAAGGGGATTTAAATGACTTTGAACGTGGCGTGGTCAGGGGCGGACTGACAAAACTCATGGGGCCCCCAGGCAATAGGGGATCATGGGGCCCCTGTGTCCTTGCCCAAACTCAAAAAAGCCTATGAAAAAGGTACCAGGGGCATCTCATGGGGTCCCCCTTACCGACCCCGGCCCTCGGGCAGTGCCCGAGTTTCCAAATGGTCAGTCCGCCTCTGCTTGCTATAGTTCAATCGAAACATCAGAATAGGGAAGAAAGGGGATTTAAATGACTTTGAATGTGGCGTGGTCAAGGGTGGACTGACAACTCATGGGGCCCCGGGTAATAGGGGATCATGGGGCCCCTGTGCCCTTGCCTAAACTCAAAAAAGCCTATGAAAAAGGTACCAGGGGCAGCTCAAGTTTCCAAATGGTCAGTCCGTCCCTGGGCGTGGTTGTTGATGCCAGATGGGCTGTCTGAGTATTTCAAAAACTGCTGATCTCCTGGGATTTTCACGCACAACCATCTGTAGGGTTTACAGAGAATGGTCCAAAAAAGAAAAAATGTCCAGTGAGTGGCAGTTGGGTAGACAGAAATGCCTTGTTGGTGTCTGAGGGTCAGAGGAAAATGGATAGACTGGTTCCAGACCAGGGGCGGACTGACCATTTGGAAACTTGGGCACTGCCCGAGGGGCCCCGGGGTCAGTAGCTGGCCCCATGAGATGCCCTTGGTACCTTTTTCATAGGCTTTTTTTTGAGTTTGGGCAAGGATACAGGGGCCCCATGATCCCCTATTGCCCGGGGGCCCCATGAGTTGTCAGTCCACCCCTGCTCCAGATGATAGAAAACCAGCAGTAACTCGTGTCAATATGGACCAAAATCTCTGAGGAATGTTTCCAACACCTTGTTGAATCTATGCCATGAAGAATGAAAGGGGGTCCACCCAATACTAGCAAGGTGGACCTAATAAAGTAGTTGGTGAATCAGGGGCGGACTGACCATTTGGAAACTCGGGCACTGCCCGAGGGCCGGGTCAGTAGGGGGCCCCATGAGATGTCCCGATACCTTTTTCATGGGCTTTTTGAGTTTGGGCAAGGACACAGGGGCCCATGATCCCCTATTGCCTGGGGGCCCCTCATGAGTTGTCAGTCTGCCCCTGTGGTGAATGCATATTCAATTCTCAAGTTGGATGACCCCTATCTTTGGGAGGTCTCAGTGGGCGATTCTATGTCATTTGCTCAATTAAATACCTGTTATCTACTGGTGAAGGAGATTATGGTCCCCTCACCAAGGGTTCGGGAGTGACCATTGGGGCACCCGAGAGCCTGGGGTCAGTAGGGGGACCCATGAGATTCCCTGGTACTTTTCATAGGCTTTTTTAGGTGTGGTTTGAGTTTGGACAAGGACACAGGGGCCCATGATCCCCTATTGCCCGGGGGGGCCCCATGAGTGCTCAGTCCCCCTAGTTCATCACCATGCTCCCACCTCTACTTGGACATGTGCTTTCCATGGAGATTCCAAGTGGCCATTTTAAACAAGCATTACCCAGGCACGGCCCCACCCCCACTGTTGTCTACCATCGGGAATTCCACCCGAAATTATGGCTGCAAAGAGGCTCTGCAGGAGACACGACACAGAGCGTTAGAGAATTTATGGAAAACACCAATGTTTCTAATACATCATTCAGAGAGCAAAAAAATTGGGGTCAACACAGGGGCGGACTGACCATTTGGAAACTCAAAAAAAATGCATCTCTAGTGATGGGCCTGATGATCGAGGCGAACACTCGAAACGGTAAGGGCCTGTTCACCCCGCTACGCCCACAATGCTCTTGTGCTCTTACTGCTGCATTGTGATTGGCCAAAAATTAATGCAACTGACCATTTCGGTGAGTCGGGGACAGGGGTGTACTGACCATATGGAAACTTGGGCACTGCCCTCCAGGGCTCGGGGTCAGTAGGGGGGGCCCCTATGAGATGCCCTGCTGTACCCTTTTTCATAGGCTTTTTTTGAGTTTGGGCAAGGGCACAGGAACCCATGATCCTCTATTGCCCGGGGGGCCCGATGAGTTGTCAGTCCGCCCCTGGGTCAACATTGACGTTGGCTTTTTTGAAGAATGAGGTGATTGGGAGTCGGACGTCTACTTTAAGTTTTTCTTTCAGATTTTATTTGCGAGCCACGGAAGTCCGTAATTCCTTCCCATGCACGGGGCTTCCAGACAATCTGCCCCCGATGAACGCTCTCACTGTTCTCTAGGTCTGGCAGCCAAACCCCACTCCCCTCTTCGTAACGTCTCGGAGAGTTTGATCGCTGGAGGATCGCCCGCAGTGCTCGCTCTTCATCTGTTCTTCGTCAGCATAGTCAGTCTGTGATTGTGTTGGCTGGCCGTGCCAGGCGAGAGCTGACGCTGACATCAGATGGTAACACACACGATGGCTTTCCGCGTGGCTGCCACAATACGTGTTACCAGCTCATTAGCTCCTCTTGTAACAGGCCTGATCTGAGCCCCTCACATGGTAAAGGAGCTGGAACTGACAGCAGGATAGATCCTCTGCAAGTGAGATTTATAGGCGCCGTGGGAGGGGCTCGGGGAGAGAATTCTCAGACAAACCAGAAAAGCAATAGTCTCGCAGTGACATTTGCATTGTTTTTCTTTTGCAACGGGTCGTCGTAAATGAGGAGAGAAGGAGGAAAATTGCCCAATTTGTACCAAGAGTCGTCCAACAGATAGCCACCATGTTAGGTTTCATAATGTGTGCAGTAAATGTGAATATTGGTACTTTTGTGGTTTGACTCAGAGTGAGTCGGCCTTCACATAGGCCTGACAATTGGTGTGGAAATTAGATATTGATCTGGTCCTGATTGTCTCGAATGTGGGTAATCAAGACCTTGGGGGTGAATGTTGAAGGGTCCCCAGTACAAAAGTTTTCATGTACACCATGACCTGGATACATGAGAACCCTTCACAGACCTAACATGTTGGAGGAGAAGCGCAGTAAAAAAGTTCAGGCACTTCTAGAGTTTTGGTCCAAATTTTTTTTTGACAAATAGGGTATCAAGAGAAACCAACACAATTCGGGGGGAAAATACTTCCCCCTTCATCAGGAAAGTATTACGTTACACTTAGGTCTGGACACATGAGAACCTTCACAGACCTAAACATGTTGAGGAGAACGGCAGCGCGGAGTGAAAAAGTTCACGGCACTTCTCTAGAGTTTTGATCCTAATTTTTTTTGGCAAAGGGTATTCAAGAGAAACCAACACAATTGGGGGGAAAAACGCTTCCCCCTTCATCAGGGCCGAAGTGTTGGATCCATCCGCCCCGTGCAATACTCAGTAGAAACTTAGGAAGACACTTTGAAAGAGAGAAGCAAAATTTATTGTATCCATTCCAGTCTAGTTGAATGTAAACGGGGGGGACTACTGTGTACACCATGACCTGGTCTACATGATGAACCTTCACAGGACCATTACATAGAGCTGACAAACAAAAAATGGAGTGGAAATAGATCTCGTTCATTGGTCCTGATTGTCTCGAAAAGTGGACTTAATGTGGGTTATTCAAGACCTTGGGGGGGTGAATGTTGAAGGGTCCCTCAGTACAAAAGTGTTCATGTACACCATGACTGGATACATGAGAAACCTTCACAGACCTAACATGTTGAGGAGAACGCAGTGAATGGAAAAAGTTCAGGGCACTTCTAGAGTTTTGGTCCAAAATTCTTTTTGGCAAAGGGTAATCAAGAGAAAACCAACACAATTCGGGGAAAAATACTTCCCCCCTTCATCAGGGCCGAAGTGTTGGATCCATCGCCCCATGCAATACTCAATAGAACTTAGGAAGACACTTGGACTTAATGTGGGTATCAAGACCTTTGGGGGTGAATGTTGAACTGTCCCCAGTACAAAAGTTCATGACGCATGAAGAGTTTTGGTCCAAAGTTTTTATTTGACAAAGGGTATCAAGAGAAACCAACAACAATTTGGGGGAAAATACTTCCCCCTTCATCAGGGCCGAAGTGTTGGAATCCATCGCCCTGTGCAATACTCAGCAGAACTTAGGAAAGACACTTGAAAGAGCAGCAAAATTTATTGACCATTCTAGTCTGGTTGAATGTAACCGGGGACTTACTGTGTACACCATGACCTGGCTACATGAGAACCTTCACAGACCTAAAATGTTGAAAAGTGTCCAATACAAAAGTTCATGACACTTTCAAGAGTTTTTGGTCCAAGTTTTTAATTTGACAAAGGGTCATCCAAGAGAAACCAAACAACCAATTCGGGGGGAAAATACTTCCCGATTTTCATCAGGGCCGAACTGTTGGATCCATCCCCCATGCAATACTCAGTAGAACTTAGGAAGACACTTGAAAAGAGCAGCAAAATGTAATGACCATTCTAGTCTGGTTGAATGTAACCCGGGGACTACTGTGTACACCATGACCTGGCTACATGAGAACCTTCACAGACCATCACATAGACCTGACAAACGGTTGTGGGAAATTCAGTATCTTGTTCTTGGTCCTGAATTGTCTCAAAAGTGGACTTAATGTGGGTATCAAGACCTTGGGGGTGAATGTTGAAGAGTCCCCAGTACAAAAGTTTCATGACATCATGAAGAATTTTGGTCCAAATTTTTGTTATTTGACAAAGGGTATCAAGAGAAACCAATACAATTCGGGGGGTGAAAACCCTATAACTACTTCCACCTTCATCAGGGAAAGTATTATACGTACATCATGGTCTAGACACATGAGAACCTTCACAGACGCTAACATGTTGAGGAGAACGCAGTGCAAAAGTTCACGGCACTTCTAAAGTTTTGGTCCACTTTTTTATTTGACAAAGGGTATCAAGGGAGGGCAACACCGTTTGTCAGGGAAAATAGCCTTCCCCACAATTCATCAGGGCTGAGTTTGTTGGATCAATCACCCCAGTGCATATACTTCAGTTGAAACTTAGGAAGAGCACTTGGATCTTAATGTGGGTATCAAGACCTTGGGGGTGAATGTTGATGGGTCCCCAGTACAAAAGTTCGACGGATGGTTCGCTGATTTGTGAAGAGATATAAAATAGTATAGGGTATATAAAGTGAAGGAGCTGAAGAGAAGACGTTTTGGTCCAAATTTTTAATTTGACAAAGGGTATCAAGAGAAGACCAACACAATTCGGGGTGAAAATACTTCCCGATTCATCAGGGGCCGAAGTGTTGGATCCATCGCCCCCGTGCAACTACTAAGTAGAACTTAGGAAGACACCTTGAAAGAGCAGCAAAATTTGAATTGACCCATTCCAGTCTAGTTGAATGTAAACCGGGGACGATACTCGTGTACAGTCATGACATTGGCTACGTGAGAAACCTTCACAGACCCATCACATAGACCTGACAAACGGTGTGGAATATAGATCTTGTTCTGGTCCTGATTGTCTCGAAAGTGGACTTAACGTGGGTATCAAAGACCTTGGGGGTGAATGTTGAACTGTCCCCAGTACTCAAAAGCTTCATGACGCGATGAAGAGTTTTGGTCCAAGTTTTTATTTTGGACAAAGAAATGTAAATCAAGGGTTTATCAAGAGAAAACCAACACAATTTGGGGGGAAAATGCTTCCCCTTCATCAGGGGGCCGAAGTGTGTTGGATCCATTGCCCCGTTGCAATACTCAGCAGAGAACTTAGGAAGACACTTGAAAAGAGCAGCAAAATTTATTGGAACCATTCCAGTCTAGTTGAATGTAACCGGGGAGGGACTACTTGTGTACACCATGACCTGGCTACATGAGAACCTTCACAGACCTAACATGTTGAAAAGTACCCAATACAAAAGTCCATGACACTTTCAAGAGTTTTGGTTCAAGTTTTTATTTGACAAAGGGTATCAAGAGAACCAACACAATTCGGGGTAAAATACTTCCCCCTTCATAAGGGCCAATAGTGGAATCCATCGCCACGTGCAATACTCAGTAGAAACTTAGGAAGACACTTGAAAGTTCACGGAAGTCCCTATGTACTCTAGCTGTTAGAAACAAGTAACGCAAGCAATGATTCACGCCCAAAGTGGAGTGCAACCAATTTAATGGACTCTGTCCCCAATTCCTAAAGATACATGAGAACCTTCACAGACCTAAAATGTTGAAAAGTGCCCGCAATACAACGTTCATGACACTTCAAGAGTTTTGGTCCAAATTTTTATTTGACAAAGTCTATCCATGGCCGAGCAGCTGCATCCAAAACTTCCATCTACCAAGTGCAATGCCAAAGAGTCAGATGCCGTGGTGTAAAAGCATGCTGCCACTAGATCTAGAGCAGGGAAGACGTGTCCCTGGGAGTGACCAATCACGCTTCTCTGTCTGGCAATCCGAATGGACGTCTCTGGGTTTTTCGGCGGTGGTCAGGAGAACTTTACTTGCCTGACTGCATTGTGCCAAGTGTAAAGTTGTGGTGGAGGGGAGGGATTATGGTGTGGAGTGGTTTTTCAGGGGTTGGGCTTGGCCTCACTAGTTCCAGTGAAGGGAACTCTTAAGGCGAC